TTCCAATGTTACTTGGTAATAATTTGCGACTGCAAATCTTAATTGAAGGTAGTACTTAGATATTTTTTGCCTTGGATCTTCAAGTTAGATCGTAAGTTGTTAACTGGTTATGAACACGATGTATCAAGTGCCGCCAATAAAAGAAAAACATTTCCACCGCAGGATCCATTTCTTGCTTTTTTCCGCCTCATACTATCACTGTAACTCTAGATCTAAGTTATAAAACGTGGTACTACGAGTATACTCATTATAGATTTTAAGCAAGCTTATGACAGAGCAAATCTGGAGCAAATGTAGAAAGTAATGAAAATACTGGCACTACGAAGCAAAATTACTAGACGTATAAGAATGGATATGGAGATAACGATGAATGAAGTTGCTTGAAGAGGTTACAAATACAAACACTGAAACCCAGATCGCAAATCCGTTATTGATTAACCCTATTTTTCATCATTTCATCATTTAATCTTTCCTTGTCCATTGCTGGACATAAATGTCCCCCATAATTTTCCATCTGTTTCTATTTTGTGCATCTTGCATTCTGTTTTTCTGTCTGAGGACGACTCTACGTCAGTATGACTCATCGCCCGGTTTCCATTCCAATATCTACATTGTCCATCTGTTATCTGTCATTAGAGTCACCTGACCCTTCCAGTTTTATTTCAGTGTTGCTATTATGTCTATCGCATCAACTACTCCAGATCTTTCTCAAAGCTGGCGGTTTAAGATCTTGTCTCGTAGAGAAACGCCAACACAGCACGCTACATCACTTTTTGTGCCACACATCTGTTTTCTGTGTCATGGTCAACGTTTCTCTGCTTTGTAAATCAACACTTTCAGCACACATTGATTGATTAAAGGTTTTTTAAGACGTATTTAGAAGTCCGAAGTCCAATGATTTGAAAACATGGTTCGACTTTACGAAGACTGCCCAAGTTAGTCTTATACGACGGATAAGCTCAACGCTTTGATTACCTTTTTTTATGCAAATCTCGTTGGTATTAAACCTAGATATTTATAGGCTTTTACCTGGCCTATGGCTTAGTTTATAGCCAAAACCATATTCTAAAAAGTTCAACTCCGATGCGGCGGGGGAGGGAGAAACTTCCAATGAAACACCAACCAAAGAACATATTCTTAAGGTGCTTTCTCCATTACTGAAGGTTGGCTATAACTACAGCAAATTGCTCTCTATCTTGAGCTGGTCTTAGTATCGACCATACCTATCATAGTACCATAGACCATAGTAGTGTCAATACCTATCCAGTCTCCTACATTCTTCAACCAGGAGCATTTTCTTCTTCTTGGACCTCTTCTTCCTTCAACTTTGCCTTCCATTATAAGTCGTAGGAAGTTGTATTTTTCTCCTCTGTAAATATGTCCTAGATAACTCCTCTTTTTATTGGCAATTCGGCTGTCAGACGATTGTCTATTTTGATAGAGTCCATTTGATCCCAATTTAGTTTTTTTACAAGTGCTACAGTGTTATGGTCTATACCATGTTGTGTTAGGGTTTCTATGAGTTCTGTGTGTTTTACTCGATCAAACGCTTTTTCGTAGTCGATAAAACAGAGAAACACGTCTTTTCGCTGATCTCGGCATTTTTGTAGTAATATCTTGAGGCCAAATAATGCCTCCCTTGTACCAAGCCCCATACGAAATACAAATTGATTGTCGCTCAGGTTTCTTTCGAATTCTCTGTATATTCGTTGATGTACAATTTTGAGTAAAATTTTCAGAAAATAGCTCATCAGGCTAATTAATTTGAACTGTGAGCATCTATTTGCTTTATTTTTCTTGGGTATATGTATAAATGTCGATATAAACCAGTCTTCAGGGAAGATTCCAGTGGTATATATTTTGTTCAATTCCCATGCGGCGGAGGGAGGGGGGAACTTCCAACGAAACACCAAACAACATAAAAAACATAAATAATAGGTTTTTTTAAATTTAAATTTTGGTTGGGGGCGGTTTTTCCCCATTCTCCCTCAATCTCAGTGGTATCCGCCTCAGTTACCGAAGCGAAACGTTTATAATCAATGTATTTAGCCCGTACAAACTTATGGAGCAGAGACTTTTAATATTGACGCAAAGATCCGAAAATAAACCCAAGAGTTACACAACGAGTCATGGAACGTACAATGCTAATGTGAGCCTTCGGGAACACATCACAAACCAACAAATCAGACAAAGATCATGCGTTCAGGACGTTATCGAAAGAATCACGACGCTAAAGAGGAACTAGGCAGGGCGCTTATCGATACCAAATTATGGACGGTGGACACGATGAATCATATAGATGGACCGACGATTTAAAAAGAATAGCGGGAAACTGGCTACAAGCAGCGCAGTGTAGAGCTCATTGAAAATAGGAAAGCCCATTTTCAGCAGTGGACGCGACTGTCTGAATGATGATAATAATAATCTGGTCTGTGGATCTTGTTTCTGTGCATATACAGGGTGTTTTAAAAAGTATGTTATAAATCACGAATTTCGGGGACAAAAATTGATTGAATCCAACCTACCTTAGTACAAAAGTGTACATAAAAAAAGTTACAGCCCATTGAAGTTAGAAATAAAAATTGTTTTTTTGCATTATCTTCCAAACTACTTGACATTTTTTAATAAAAATGGACACGTTACTTTCTTGTTCTAAAAGCATTTTTCATAAAAAAGAAAGAACAAAATCTAAGCGCACAGAAAAATTTTAAGGGGTGTGTGCCGCCCTAAATCCTCCCAAACTTTTGAGTACGGTCAAATCAAATGAATTTTGTGGTATCGTTAGTTTAACACATTATTTTTAAAAAAATTTTGCCTCATCACTTTTTTCAAAAAACAGTTTTTATTGAATTACGGCCCCTTTAATTAACCTTTAAAAATTACGTGCAACTAAATAAATGGCTTAAATTAATTAACAAGTATAAACAATATCTACAACCTCTATAAATATGATATTACAATAAATGTTCTAAATGACCCCCATTTTCTCAATACACATTCGGTATCGTTTTAATAAGGAAAACCGAATGCGCTGAAAAATCATCACGAAATTGATTTGCAGCTTCAATTATTCTAACCCTCAATTGTTGTTCGTCCACTATTGTTACAGAATACACTTTCTCTTTCATAAACTCACAAAAACAAAAGTACATGGGGTTAAGACCTGGACTTCTGGGTGGCCAAGAAATAGATGCGTCACGACTCCTTCCAATCCACCGACCAGAATAGCCTGCAAAGGTATTTCCGGACTTCATTATTACTGTAATGCGGTGGAGCGCCATCTTGTAGAAACCACATATTTTGCTTTATTGCAATATTCACTTCTTCCAAATACTCTTGTAAATCGTGTGTCAACAACTGCAAATAATTATCACCATTTAATTTGTTGGGAAGAAATACTGGGCCTATTAGATTGTTATCCACAATTCCTGCCCAAACATTAACTTTGAGAGTCCTTTGGTGATGAGTCGTTTTTTTGGCGTGAGGTTTTTCGTCGGCCCAAATATGCTCGTTATGATGGTTTGTTATTCCATTTTTACTGAAGGTAACCTCGTCGGTAAACAAAATATTTCTAATAAAATTAACATTTCGAGTGTTTTCCATTAACAACTAATTGCAAAATCCAATCCTTTTAGGATAATCTTCAACCAATAACTCTTGAACTGTTGTTTAGTGATAAGGTTTAAGCAGCTGATCCTTCAAACGCCTCCAAACCTTACGTGAGGAACATTTAGTTGAGCAGCTATTACGCTTGTACTTGTTCCAGAGACATCTTCAGTGATTTCTAAAATGTCTTCATCAGTTGCATCAATTATTGGACGACTACTATTGCCAGCAACTTGCGGTTGGAATGTACCCGTTTCCCGTAAACAACGATCAATGGTCAGGAATAATCGTCTATCAGGTGTTTTTCGATTGGGGTATTTTACTGCATAACGCCTTGCGGCTGCTGCACTATTTCCTTGACATTCACCTACGATATTCCCGATAGTTTATTGAAATCATAATTTAATCTGATCCAACTTACCCAAAGTTAAATGCATATCTGCCATTTCCTGAAATGTGTAGGTCATTGTAATATCAAAATTTTTAATATTAATATTATTCACACAATAAAGGATGGCTTCATTGTATGAAAAAACTAAACGAAAAAACTAGTTTTTCGAAAAAGTGATAAGAGGCAAAAAAGTTTTAAAAATAATTTGTTAAACTAATGATGGCACAAAATTCATTTGATTTGAACGTACTCAAAAGTTTAGGGGGATTTAGGGCTGCACACCCCGCTTAAAATTTTTCTGTCCGCTTAGATTTTGTTGTTTCTTTTGTATGAAAAATGCTTTCTGAACAAAAAAGTAACGTGTCCATTTTTATTACAAAATGTCATGTAGTTTAGGAGATAATGCAAAAAAACAATTTTTATTTTCTAACTTCAAAGGGCTGTTTACTTTTTTTGTGTATACTTTTCTACCAAGGTAAGTTGGATTCAATCAATTTATTTTTGTCCCCGGAATGCGTGATTTAATTTATGACATACCTTTTTCAAACACCCTGTATTTCACTGACTACAAGATTAATGATAATCTGGGTTTTAATATTGATCTTCAGTCTTCCTTTCAAAGAGGAAAGGTAGGGTTGATTTAGATCCTCTAAATGCATTGACGATAACTTAGATCTTTCAATAATACAGATGTGGATATAATGAACTTATTTGGCTAAAATATGTGCGCACTAAACCAATCTTTCTCAAAAAATTATAGCCCTTTCAAAAAGTTTGTGGGGCTCTATAATTATGATGATAAAATCTGCTATAGTAGACTCAAAAATGAAGAGGAATAATCAAAACTAAACTAAACTGTTTGCTGAATATGGCATTGATAGACGTTAATGCATTCTTTGCATTACACTTCTTATTAGTACTGCACCTGGTCCTGAATACGTACCCTGTCTAGTTAATTGACAAGTATAGTTCAAATAAACCTATCTAATTCACCTTGTAGATAGTTTTCGCCTCCATTCATACTCTAATCGCTCGATTATATCGTAATAGCACGGCACGATAACAAACGGGGCCCGGTACCTTGACCTCGCTGTGTATTACACACGAATCGTTCCAGCAGCGATACCGCTACAAAATGAGAAATTCTGCAGCAGTCACTTTTCGAGGTTAAAAGATTAAGGCACGGATTTACTTGACTTTTTAGGCTTCCAGTGTAACAACTTTTCTTCCAGTGGAAAACTTATCGAAAGTGTGAAAACCGCGAGTGAGGTTTTCCCGCTTGAAGGTTCACGGAAACCTCGTGAGTGTATTTTTAGAATTTTGATCGATATTTAGGTAAATATTTACATATAAGTTATGCTTTTAATTATTTGCTAATTTCATTTAGAGAAAATGTATTAGATAGAAAAAAATTGTTGAATAATCAGTCCCTGTGAAGTTTATCTGTCACAGCTGTTCTGTCAGATAATATTGCCCTAGGCAGGTATGAATCAGCCTTGAAAAGAATGAGGAAGTGTGTGTAAAAACAAAGATATGATGACAATATGAGAGTATGTATTTAAATTTCTTTCTATGGTAACTGAATAAAATTTATGATGGTAACTTAATGATTGACTGAATGAAAAATTCGAAAATGACAATTCTTATTTTCTTTACGAAAATAAAAACCTCTTTTTAAATATTTTATTATGTACTCTAGCAAACATTTTTTGTTTTTTTCTGATTTCTATTTAATAGCTAAATGATTTTTAAACTAAATCGACGATATGTTTTAGTCAGTGTTATAATTTTATTACCTATATATAAACCATCCATATCATAGCAACAATCTCAATATGAAGTATATCATATTTGAATAAACTATATACGAGGGACGTTTAAAAAGTTTCATTTTTAACAGTGTTCAAATGCATTTAAACTAAATGCATGTTTTATAGGAAACATTTTTGTGATATATAATAGGAACCTACAAGTTAAGATATTTAACAATTTTAAAAAACAACAAACGTTTGGTTAACGGACCTAATTCATACATAAACTAAAAAATTCAGATGTGTTAGTATTTTTAATTTTATTCCTAGATCGAGCAAAAAGACAAAAGAGTCAATTTAAAGGTAGTGGGGCAAAAATATTGTTAGAGAGGAAGTGCCGTCTTGAGAGGCCACATTAAACAAGGAAAGAGAGTCGTTCCTTGTTTAAGAAATCAAATTTAGTTGGGTTATGTTATTTTTTGTCCCAACTGTCACATGAAATCTTATTTATTATGAAGTTTATTAACAATTATGTCGCATTTTAGACTTTTGTCGTTTATATTTATTTAAAGTCAAGCTCTTTAACGACATCTACGATACGGGCCAGATTCCAAAAGATTGGCTTCGATCTACATTTATCGCCCTACCAAAAACACCACGTGCGAACTTCTGCAAGGACCACCGACTAATAAGCCTAAGGAGTCACTTTTTAAAACTTTTCCTGAGAATACTTTACACTAGATTGTTTAAGAAATGTGAAGAGGTCAGTGGATGGAGTCAGTTTGGTTTCAAAAATGACTTGGCACGAGAGAAGCGATCTTTAGTATGCAAACGTTGATACAGAATTGTTTAGATCAAAGAAAGGATGTTTTTATCTGTTTCATCGATTACGAGAAAGCATTCGATAATGTAAAAGACGAATTAATGATAAAATACCTAAAAGAGTTGGGATTGGATGCAAAGGATATAAGAATCATCCCCAATCTGTATTGGAATCAGACAGCAACAGTACGTCTTCAAAATTCCAACGAAACAGAAGATTTCTCCATTAAAAAAGGAGTAAGGCAAGGTTGTATACTGTCCCCAATGCTGTTCAATTTATACGTAGAAAAAGCCTTCGCAGAAGCAGTGGAAGACTCTAATAAGGGTATTAAAGTTAACGGCATATTTATTAATAACATCAGGTATGCCGATGATACAGCCATAGTGGCAGATAACGTCGAAGATCTTCAATGCCTTTTAAATGATCTAACTCTTGCAAGTGAAGCTCGGGTTTGAAAATAAATATCAAGAAGACAAAATCAATGATTATAAGTAGAAATGATTACCCCAACGCAAAGATATATGTCTCTGGAGAAGAAATCGAACAAGTCAGGCAATTCAAATACTTGGAATGTTTGCTGAATAAGTGTTGGGACCCCGAGAATGAAATAAAGAGCAGAGTTGAACAAGCCAAAATGCTTTTTTGGGGCTTCGTAAGTTTCTGACTGATCGCAAATTGGACTTCAACCTCCGATACAAGATGCTTAAGTGTTACGTGTGGCCTGTTCTCCTGTACGGAATGGAAGCATGGACGTTAAAGGCCAGTTCCATTAACAAACTTGAAGTGTTTGAAATGTGGTACCTGCGTCGAATGCTCAGAATATCATGGACGGACAGGGTCAGAAATGAGGAAGTACTCAGAAGAGCGGGCTTACAGGATAGGGAACTTTTAAATTATGTAAAAAGGAAGAAGACTGCATACTTGGGGCACATAATACGAGGAGAACGATACACTTTTCAGCAACTGATACTCTAAGGGAAGATAGAGGGTAGGAGAGGTCTCGGACGTAAAAAAATGTCATGGCTGCGCAATATTCGACAATTGACAGGAATCCACAGCTATGAAATGCTTCACAATGCTGCTAAAAACAGAATTATTTAATCCAGAATATTTAACATCTCACCTGACAAGACGATGTACGGTGGACGCCTACGCAGAAATGCACGGCACCTTAAGAAGAAAAGAAAGTTTCTCGTCTATGACACATTCTGAAAACTATTTTATAGCTACTGTTAATAAGTGTCGAAAAATTTTAATTTGGCGCATTCGCATTTCCGGATATGTCCGCCATCAGAGGCCACTTTTTTGGTCTCCTTTTTATAACGATTAGATTCCCTCTTTTGTCATTTTGCTCGATGCTAGATACTAATCTCATTAGAGGAAGTTGCCTAAACCCGGGCTCCAACTTTGTATTTAAAAAATTCAAATTTGAAGAAAAAAAATTAAACATTTTTCAATATACCGGGTGGTGAATCCTCAAACGGGCCATAGGAAACTCAATGAGAAATTTTAAATTGTTGAATTGCTGCTTCCCTAATTATTTTACATCAAAAGTCATAAAAAATTATTTGTAGAAGACTAAAATCTGAATTAACATTTGTTTTTAATCTACGAATCAATTGTACTTCAAAATTTTGCAAAAATATAATACATTTTTCAGGCCACCCCTAAAAGTTAGGCCACACGTAAAGCAAGAATATATATTATGACGTGTGTGTTTTGTCATATTGATGTCAGATGTTTGACAATTTGAATTGTCAATTTTTATTTTATGATTAAATTATAAACAATGAATTTTACTAAATACTACTACTACTGAATAACAAATATTACTTTGTGAACAATAAATTATATTGTTTACAAATCGATCAATATAATGAAATGTACTAAGTTGACGAAAAATCGCATAATGTTGTATTCAGGCAATAGCCCGAACCTTTTCCTGCCACTACCGGATCTTTATTTAACGTAAGATATTCTAATACACTAAAACTTAATTCCATGTTAAGTTAAGTTATACAACAATTCAATGAATTCCAATATACTGTTACAGTGATCTTTATTACTTAAAATAATTTATGATAATTTCTAAACATACACCTATAACAAAAGTTATAGTAAAACATGAATAAAATATTTGTATTATTGTTTTGTCTCCTCAACTGAGTACATTTTTTAATCAACTTAATTTTTTTTAAAGAATAAATCACAAAATAAAATTTTTGGCCATTTAAATCATGATAAATATAATATAGTTGATTTAAATATTGTCAAATATCAGAAACATCAATATGATAAAACGCAACACGTAAGACACATTTTTTCATGGCGTCTGGCCAGACTTTTAGGGGTGGCCTGAAAAATGTATTATATTTTAGCAAAATTTTGGAATACATTTAAATCTTAGAACAATTTTAACAGTTGTTTTCGATACATATTTGAGTCTTCTACAAATAGTTTCCCATGACTTTTGGTGTAAAATAATTAGGGAAGCAGGAATTCAACAATTTAGAATTTCCCATTGAGTTTCCTATGGCCCGTTTGCGTGTTTGAGAAATGTTTCCTAATGTAGGTCACTAAAAAAATAGAAAAAAATTTAAGAAAAACTTAAAAGTAAAACACTAAAAATTTAAATAAACAAAATTGTAATTTTGCATTAAAAATACAATAATTGACAGTCAAGTACGGCAATAATCGCATATATAGTTGTCTTCTTCTGCGCCTGCACACTCAACGTGAGCTCAGAGGGAACACATAAGGCATTTAAACCCAACGCTCTCCTTTACAGTCACCTGAAAATTTAACACAACAAAATAGACACTCCACGTCCTCTTTAGCTGTGAGGGAAGATACACCTGGTGGAATTTCTAACTTAGAAGAACCTGAGGATATAGTGTCGGTTGAGTCTTCTCCGGAGCTAGATTCTCCCTTGAACTTAAGACTTTCCTTAGCTTTCTCTTTTCTTTGCAACGGGAGACATTTTGAACCACGACCTTTACCACATGTCGGTTGGTTACTGGCCTTAGCTACTTTCTCCTCTCTAATTGTTGCAGGCTCTTCTAATTGCGATTTGTAACGAAAAGAAGTTATAAGTGCTGAACTGGTTGCTTTACGTCCTCTAGTAGAAGCTCTTTTCTTAATTTTCGGTATAGAGTTGATACGAAATGTCATTTTATTTTTAAAAGGTCTGAACATGATTCAGCTTTCAGCTAATTGTACAGTCATTCTTCGTAAATCTGTTAGTGTAACGCCAGAGCATGATGCTTCCATGGCTAAACAATAATTAACTTGTTCATTCTCAAGTTGTTTGCAAAACACCGATGGCATACCAACTTTTGTAAGAGATGCATCTAAGAGATTTCCATATTTTTCTTTGGCCCATCGTTGCAGAGTTGATCTTGGCACACTATACATCTTACTGGCTTTTTTTAAGCCCATTGTCTGTTTTCGGAGAATGTTAATCGCCCTTGACATGTCCGAATGGGACCATGATATCTGCAACAATATTATCTATTAATTTTAATTTTACAAGCCAAAAAAGGGGCCCACATTAGGAAATTTTGAGGGGCCCGGATTAAGCAACACTTAACTAAAATTTAAATATCAAATATCTTATTTTAAAAATAAACTAAAGCCAAATGTTAGACCATGAATCAGTAGCTTGTAATATCATTTTTAAATATATAATATAATGGTTAAAGTACTTACCAATATAATATTAAATTCCGGCAACACAAACTAAAAGCGCGCCAAAACTTTCCGAACCAAGATTTAGCTTGTTCACTGATTACACCTCAAACGAGTTACGACAGCGACTGAAATGGTCGGCCGTCATGGTAAAACGAAAAGATCGGCCGTGCTTTGGTATCATAAGGAACTTCACGTTTAACAGAGTTGTCACTTTGCAACTGTACTGTATGTATATATCAACCTATGGGCCCACTTTGGGAATAGGTCCCGGGTTTGGGCAAGTTCCTCTATTAAATATTATGGTAGTTGGGGACAAAACCACGCAGTTTCGTTATCCTCCTGTCGTCTTCAGAAATGATAACAGTTTAAAACGTTTCCAATGTTATTACGTGAGAGCAGACATATTGTTTTCCACTTTAAGTATTGACAGTAGTTCTATAAGTTGACTAACAAATGAAAAACAAAAGTTTTTAAAAAATCTTCATTTGCGTACTCTTACCTCTACAAATGGAGCAGTAGTACGCAAGTGCGGATTTGTGCCCAAATTTCAAATAAAAGAGATGGTAGGCGTTTAAAAGAAACCAATCTTTATTGAAAAAACCAAATGTAAGATACAAAACGTTAATCTAAAAGAGAACTGTATTTGTTGAGATCGTCAGAGAATCCCACTGAATTTAAAAATCTGAAAGAGCTGATTTTTATTGGCTTTGAAAGCTGTAAAACAATATCGTTCTTTCAAAAGGTATCTTTCGTTGTCTCACGAAAACGAAATATTGTGGACAGTCGCAAAAAATACTCCTTCATAACCATCATCATTTACTTGACAGACTTTGGCGACAAATAATCTGTATGATTTTTCTCCAAAAACCTTCACTAACGACAAGTTATCAGGTAAAATATTTGGTACAACATCAATGCCTTGCTCTTCATCGTTATTGGAAAAATCAATGTCACAAGAATCAATACTTTTTTGATAGGTGAGTGCTACTGATTTATCAGATGATGATTCGTCGAAAACTCTCCTTCTCATTTCCACTTCCTCCTTCTTCCTACTGTTCTTCTAACAGTCGCTCCTTATTAGGTGTCGATGTTAGTAGGGTTCACTTCAAACTTTTCCTGATTCGTTACCTTTTTATCTTAATTTTTAAAAAAGTCTAGGTGAAATGACTGACTGTTCTGATTTGGATAATGGCTGGGGCTCTTTATTGTTAGTAACAGTTTATTTTTCATTATTTGAAGGATCAGGTACAGAAATTCTGACTTCCGATTTTGATGACGTTTAGGGCTCTATCGCAGTAACAAGTTCTTCTTCTTGCTGAAGCCGGATAAAAAAATATGACCTTCATTGTCTGAATCTTCACCTAAACCTTGCTCTGTTACTTCCGCTGGCATAATGGGGAAACTGTACATGGGAACTGGTCCAGCTGTCAGCGACCCTCTCATAATAAGCTTTTAATATTTTGAAAAATGCTCGACCGAGTGACTGTGTTTATGACTACTATGTGTTGGCAGACTTAATAAATGGATCAAATTATCTTTTGTAAATGTTACTGCTTGAGGACTTGTGTGTCATACATGATTATTTAGAATTAAAAGAACGAGGTTTCTCCTCTGTTGAACTTGTATGTTTTTAAAATGTTCCAGGTACTTGATAAACGTCAGAGTGTTCACTTAACCGCTATCAGTAATAACCATATCGCAGGCAGTAGATCGGTCTTTGATTAGAACAATCTTCATCCGTTTTCGAGCAAATATGAAAAATGGAGGGACATGGTGACCAGTGGCACTCATACAGCAAACAGTCTTAATTGTTTGTCCTTGCTTGGCAGCTACAGCTTTTGCTACATATCTCTTTCGAATTGGAGCAACATGTTTGGGCAGATGGTTTCGGACTGTCCGAATTCCCGTTTCATCAAAGTTATAGATACGGTTGGGAGATAACTTATATTTTTTTATAGTGTTTTCCAAAATTTCAAACTACGTAGCTATTGTGTTGTGTAGTGTCTTGCACAATAAAAGTAAATTTTAAAAAACGCAATGACTTCAGCGTCATTCCATAAAATCGTTTGTCGAGATTTTGCAATGATAAACTATTTCGTTTTATTTGGATCTTGGTTAGAACTGCTTTAAATCTGCCTAAAGACTTGACACCATTTCCTCTTTTCAACCGTTGCCGTAGTGTAGCTCCATGTAATCCCACAGCTTTTGCTGTCTGACTTATAGAATGGAAATTAACTGGTTGACCAGCTTGACAAAGATGCGACCCATGTTGGACCCTATACTCCCATATTCACATTGGAGGACTTACAACATTATTATAACAAAATTGTTATAAATTGGAAAGAAAAATGGAAAAAACATAGCAACTAATTCAAATAATCAATATTATATTATCCACCCTACCTTACCACAAGATGTTGCCTATATTTTCAAATACGCAATGCCAAAGAAGTTGACAGCCACAGTTACACGACTGAAACTAATCACGGTGCATTCCCAAGTCACTTGACTAACTTAAATATTATCCCTTCTGTAATATATCATAATGTGACATTAACCATATGCTTTATAAGTGCGATAAACATCAGTATGAAACAGATCAGCTGTATTCAAAACTATCAGAACTTAAAATTCAGACTCCCATAAACATCACCTCCTTAGATAGTAAAAAAGTATACGAACTAATATGTAATTTTCTATTTAAAGTTATTTACATTAGTTAAAAACTTACATCTTATATTAAAATTATGTGGCTAAAGAACTAGTTTCTAAGCCAACTCACCAAACACATAAACAATATCAGGGGTTGTGTTCTTCTGCATGTGATAACAGTAAAAAGGAGACATATCTATGAGAGAAGAGAAGCATTCTCTTCAATCATCATTTGACAGCAGCCATAAAAAAGAAGAAAGAGAAAGATCAATAGAAAGATGGCAAGAAGAGTGGAACAACACAGAAGATGTTGCTCAGTGGACTAAGATGCTGACCAAGAGTCCATGAGACTGGGTGGACTGTGGTCACAGGCGAGTGGATTACTTCCTGACCCAAGTGCTCACGGGACTTGGGTATTTTAGGATATATTTTCTAGATTTAGAAAGATACAGATAAATGTCTATACTATGAATACACTGACACTGTTACTCACACAATGCTGGAGTGTAATAGATGGATAGTGAAGAGAAACAGAATACACAGAGAAATAGGTATGAACCCTGTTTCTGTAAGAGAGACGATTGTGAAGATGACGGGAAGTAAGGAGGGATGGGATATTATACATAATTACATTCGAACAGTAATAAAAAAGAAAGAAGAAGAAGAGAAACACAAGCCGGGCCAACGACAGCGATAAGATATAGATAAGAGAAGGTAGTGCTCCTAAGTGTTCAACCTTACAGCGACCATCCCTCTTTCGGAGTACAGTACGTGCGACAGTCAACTACGTACAAGTAGGAGAGGGTGATTTTAGTTGGCAGGCAGGATAACAGGAAGGCATCTGATTGCAGGACCTCCTTCTAAAGTGAAATAGGCTCAGATGTATTCATTTACCTTGAATCTAATACACACCAGTCATCCCTACGGATGTGTTGGTGTTAACCTGGTACAGTTTTTAGAAATTTCCATGTTCCCAGATCTTTCCTAAAACCCATTTGGGTATTACTTATGCCTTCATCTAATGTCTTATGTATTCTATTGTCAATTGCTTGTAAACACAATTTCAAGACATGACTCATTAAGGCTATGGTGCAATGTTCTTTGCACTCTTCTGCATTGGCTTTTTTTGCTATATTAACATATTTTACATATTTTACAAACCGATATTTTTTTATTTTGACAATTGTAAATAGTATTTCTGTTTTTTTTCTCATAAACATCTGCATTTGTATCTTCGTGATAATCACCCATGTAATAACTGACTGCAATGTTACTATATCGTTGTTGAAAAAGCTTTCTGCACTACCGATATGGGCAACAATCACTCTTTTTCCTTTACTAGAGGGAACTTTGTTTTCCGCAGAAAATCCATCTTAAAACACTTGGCGAGAAGAGGTTACGTATAGTCAATGTCTTCCTTAAACTTTACTACTCTCCAAATCCTTGCCAGCTATCTTTAAGTCAATTCCAATCTAAATGATTAGACCACGTCCGCCTTTCTTCTTGCAATAATGTCGATGTCATCGGCGTACGCTAGTAATTGTACGCTGCGATTAATAATAGTTCTTCTGGTTGGTATTCTAGATTCTCTTATCGCTTTCTCTAGTGCAATATTGAATAGAAGGCATGATAGGCTGTCTCCTTGTCTCTGGAACCACACAAAGGAAAGAATAAAAAAGTTTTTCTAGTTCAATTTCAGTACATTTTCCTCTAAACCATGTGTTTTTAGCTTGTCTTATTCTACTTATCCACTGTTTGTTTATCTGTTTTCTTTTTATTTTTAAATTCTCTTTTTCTATCCATTAATTCTTCTTCTTCATGTGCCTTGTCCATTCCGAACGTTAGGCTATTGCGAACATGGCTATTCTGACTTTGTTTACGGCAGATCTGAATAGTTCAGCAGATGACAATCCATTAATTCTAGAATTTATATTCTCGTTCGAGGTGTAGTAAGTTATATTCAGAGTTGATGTCTGCACTTGAATAAGTGTTTGCACTGTTTTTAAACAATCGTACAACTGTTTTTAAATCTGAAAGCATAATCAAATTGGTTGTGGACTGGGCTGTGTAAAAAAATAAACTTGGAAAATTATAAATAATTAGTAGATTAATAGAATAAAACATGGTATTTTAAATTATAAAAGTATGAAAACAATTTGTTATCTCATTAAGCATAGCTGATATCTGTAAACACTTTGAATTGGTGTTAATTAACCGGTAAGTTGAAACTCTTTAAACGCATTATGTTATGGTATTGTTTCAGGCAGATATGAGCTAGAACCTTCGGTAAGATTTTATTCGGATAAGAGACGTACTCGCAAAATGGGTGATCAAGGAGATAATCTTTATCTTGGTTTGGATCTTAGCACACAACAGGTAAGTAGAAATATAAATTCCTTCGGGTTCTATTCAACGTTTTGTAAAATTCTAATGATTTTTCTATCACTCTTGAATTGATTGGTCTATAAATTATAAATTAAGACATATAAACTAAGTAATTGTTAGAATAGAACATTTAACTGGTTTATTTTTACATTTATTAATTAGTTACGCATATACAAAAATGGACTAATTGGAGTTAAAAAATAAAAATGAGTTAATAAGTACATTATTAAAAATATTGGCAATAGTATTATTTATATCTTTACTTTATCTTTATAAATAAGACGGTAATACTTTTTTTTAATGTATCTATATTTGGTACTGCATAACACATTCACCTTTATTTTTCTAAACCGTTACTAAATCTAAGGGAGATAGGTAAGATACATATATTATTTTCTTATAAGTCCGTCAAATGCCATGATTAATATCGTTTGAAATAACATAGGGAGCTAATGATGTTAGAAAATTTGGAAAAGAGTACGGTAAGGAAAAGAGTTTTGGTGGACATCTTGTTTATGAGTATGTGTGTATATAATTTATATAGATGATTTAACAGCCTTATGGGTTGGTAGTTTTCAAGGTGGGTTAGATCTCTCTTTTTGTGAAGGATGATCATTGGTGTTAATCCATTATTCAGGGATTTGTTGCTTGTGTAGACATAGGCTAAATAGTTTTTGCATTTTATTTATTAGACCTTTGCCACCATTTTTTATTGTTTCTGTTGTCACTCGATCTTTTCCCGGCGCTTTGCCATTTTTTATCTTTTTAATATTGATGGATTTCGTCTATTATTATATGCAGAATCTTTTCTGAGCCTTAGTTTATGATTTTTTTTAAGCATAGTTCTTGTGGTTTTCTGTCATTTGGTGCTGATTTGCATAAGTCTTCACAAAATCTTTCAAGTACGTGGTATATTGTCTCTGTTCTAAGGTTGTCCCATTCATTGTCGTAGGTTTAATTCTTACTTTACTTCTATTAATGAACGAAAAAGTGTTGTTTTATTCAGAGTTACTAAAAATCATTATTTCTCCCAGGTTATGATTTAAGTATTAAATAAATAAATTTTATAAATTTAGGGGGCCATAATATTTAATAATTTATTTACTAAAAATGAATTTTCATTATGTAAAAGTATGTACAAAATTAGGTCAATCATCAATGTCAAATCCGTCAACATTTTTCTCCGGAATCGAATTTTAATTTTGTATCATTCGATCGCCATTGTGTGTTACAATGAATAAACTATTACTATATTATTATTCAGCAATATGTAATGAAGTAATAATCACTTAGTAGTTAAAGTGTACTGTGAGTATATTCATTTTGTTTATTTTTAGCCTAATAGCTTATTCGAAAACATGTTAAAATAAAATTTATTGTAGTTTTAATGATATTCATTACCTAAGTGTATGTATGAAGCTTAAAACGTTAATCAATACATAAAGTCCAAGCTGTATAGACAAAAACGAATGATTTTGAGCAGTAATTAATGAATTTTTTAAACCAACACAGCGCAGTGTTATGAAGGGCACGTCTCAGTAACCTCCAAGTGTTTGCAACTCCAAACTATTGGTTATAATTTGTTTCTAGGCACTTTTAAGGTGCAAAAAACGGTTTTTTGATTATTTTTATGTTTCTGTATCATAACTGTATATGCGCGTTTGACAGTTGAAATGTATAGTATGAGATAATACATAATGACTCTCCTCTAGGAATTAATCAATTTTTTAGTGGAACTATTTTCAAATAAACAATCAAAACACCCAACTCATTATTTTGCTCATAACTTAAAAACTTGTCTATTTAGGAATTCAACTTCAAGAGACAACTTTTTAAGAAAAAAACTTAAATTAAATCGCTGTTGGGCGTAAAAAAGGGGACAAGTCAATCAAAACAGGATTAACTCAAACATAGATTAAAAAAGTATGTTTTAATTGTGGGTAAAAGGGGACAAGTCAATGTAGCTGAATTTGTATGTTAAGTTGATTGTTCCAAAAGAGGCACTTACAAAATAGAACATAAAATTTAGTGCAAAAGGGATATGTTAACATGTCCCTACGAAGTATGAAAAATATGATAGCTTTGCCAAGGACAGCGATATATTAGAAAGAAAAAAGAGAAGAGCAAATTCACAAGAAGTTATAAATAATACTTCAATAGACCAATATAACTTAGACTGGAAAGTCCGCGAGAAAGTTAAAAAATACACGAACAAAAAAACGAGACAAATGAAACAGGAGAGACGAGAAAAACGAAATTTTGGTAAGGCGTATGTTAATATCGATAATATCGAAGAACTAAATGATATGTTACAATAATTAAATGCAGTTTCAGGAGCGGTAGGATTAAAAATGAACTTCAGTAAAACAAAAATATTGAGCCGAGACCAGACAAACAATACAAAATCATACTATAGAAAATGTTGAACATTATGTATATCTAGGTCATGTCATTAAACTAGGAAAACCAAATCAAGATGCTGAAATTAAAAGAAGAACACAACTGGCATGGGGCGCTTTCGGCAAACTAGCATATATCTTGAAAAACACCTACATTCCAGAAAACTTAAAGAAAAAGTGTATAACACATGCATACTATTAGTTTGTACCTACGGCTTGGAGACAGTAGCCCTTACCAAAAAATTTGCTAAAAAATTAGAAACAGCGCAAAGAGCAATGGAACGAATCATGCTTGGAATATCACTGAGAGACAAGATTAGAAACACCGAGATAGGACGTAGAACGAAGATTAGGGATATTGTGGAAGACACTACAAAAATGAAAGTCGCTGGGCAGGTCACCTAGCCCGATATAATGACAACAAGTGGACAGGGAGAATTCTAGAATGAAGACCAGGGACGACAACAAGAAGCATGGGAAGACCTCAAAAAAGATGGGTAGATGACATAAGAGCAGTTTCAGGCAAACAGTGGATTAGATTGTCGCAAGATAGAGAAAGATGGAAACAATTGAGAGAGACCTACATTCATCATCATCAGTTGGCGCTACAGCCCTTCGTGAGCCTTGGCCTGCTTCAAAACATTCTTCCATCCTTCCCTATCGAGTGTCTGTCTTCTCCAGTCCCTCACTCCAATATCCCTCAGATCTTCCTGTACATCGTCCAGATATCTGAGTTTAGGTTGCCCCCTTCTTCTTCTTCCGACTGGCCTGTTTAGCATAGTTATTTTAATGATATCACTCTCATCCATCCGCATAACGTGGCCCACCCACCTTAGGCGGTTTATTTTGATGGTCTTCACAATCTCTGCATCACCAAAAAGTCTATAGAGTTCAAAGTTATATCGCCTTCTCCACAGACCCTGTTCGTTTACTCCGCCATATATGGTCCTCAATACTTTTCTCTCAGAGACTCGTAGTAACTCTTCATCTCGGGTCGTCATTGCCCATGTTTCCGATCCGTATGTGAGCACTGGGCGTATTATTGTTTTATAAAGTTTGCACTTTGTTGCTATTGACATACTTCTCGCTCTTAGTTGAGGGCCCAGTATAAAATAACAGCGGTTAGCTACGCATATTCTTTTTTTTTATCTCGTTGGATGTGTTATTTTTGTAGTCTACCAGTGATCCTAAGTAGCAGAATTCTTCTACCATTTCTATCGTTTCGTGTCTCACTTTTAAGTTATTTTGTTGAATTCTTGATATGGCCGGCATATATTTAGTTTTCTGGATGTTAATCAGAAGTCCGATGTTTTCTGCGGCATTTTTGATACGTGTGAAAGCCTCCACTGCTTCATTTTGGGTTCTTCCAATTATGACGATATCATCAGCGTATGCCATTATTTGTATACTACGGGTATATATCGTAGCTTCTAAGTTTATTCCCGAATCTCTCATAACTTTTTCTAACGCTAGGTTGAACAGCGTGCACGATAGCGCATCTCCCTGGCGCAGTCATCTGTTGGTTTTAAATGGTTTTGAAACATCCCCTTGTACGCGCACTTTACATTCGACTATATACAATTCTACCAAACCTTTTATCGAACACTGAGCCTCATGAGTCATACTTTAAAAGTTCTGCTAAGAGAATATACGAAAGGCTAGAGGAGGATATTAGCGAGACGCAGTTCGGGTTCCGAAATGGAATGGGTACTCGAGAAGGACTATTTGCCATCAACATATTAATTCAGCGATGTCGGGATGTAAATGTTGATCTACACTTGTGCTTCGTTGACTACGAAAAAGCTTTCGATAAAGTAAGACATGAAAAACTAATATCAATACTTATGAACAAGCGCATTGACAGTAAAATCATAAATATAGTGCAAACATTATATTGGAACCAAAGTGCCATAGTTCAAATTGATGGGCAATACTCAGAAGAAATGAAGATCTGTAGAGGAGTTAGACAGGGATGTGTGTTATCACCACTTTTGTTTAACTTATATTCTGAAGAAATTTTCCAAAACACGCTCAATAATATCGAAGCGGGAGTCACCGTTAACGGAAAATTAATTAATAATTTAAGATATGCAGACGACACTGTGATCATAGCAACGAGTATAGAGGATCTACAACATCTTATCGAAAGCTTGAGTATAAATAGTGCTGAGATGGGAATTACTATAAACGCCAAAAAACGAAGTACATGCTGATTACAAAAAGGCCACAAAATATACATCACCTATTGACAATAAATGGTAACGTGATAGAACAAGTAGAAAAATATCAGTATTTGGGAACTTTGATCAATGAAACCAATGATCATACTGTAGAAATAAACAGACGAATAGAGATTGCCAGATCAGCATTTATACGAATGAAGCCACTCCTAACGTGCAAAAATCTAAATTTGGAGATCAGACTACGTACCATTCGCTGTTATATATTTTCAATATTATTATATGGAGCTGAGACTTGGACATTAAAAAAATGTAATTTAAAAAGAATCGAGGCCTTCGAACTCTGGTTATACCGCAGAGTATTGAAAATATCATGGACTGATAGAATTACAAATAAAGAAGTACTGGAGAG